AAACAGTTACTTATTGTCAGAATGTCTGTATTTTAAGACAAATGAAGTGTCTTGTGCTCTCTTTTTTCCAACTGTAGTCAGGTTTCACGTAATGTATAGCGCATGCGTCTATCACCTCGAGCGAGCCCCCCCCCCGTGACATAAAATCGCATCAAAGTCCGTATACTTTATCCTGCTGTGTTCGCTTCAAAAACGGTTGAACTCGTTTAGCTTCTCAAGTTCTTAACTGGTTTTCTTCAGGACTTGCCCTGCTGTTCGACCCACAGTTATACAAATCACGTTCTGGATGCAGGTCAGCTGATCCCAGAAACTCTGTGCAGCAGCTTCATATCATCTGTTTACTGAACTTTTTATGACAACATAAACCCTATTGTTAAGTGTTGGGTGAATATATTGTAAACTAATATTAAAAATGAAAAGCTGCAAAAAATATACTTTCAAACTGTTTATTGGCAAATTTAGTCTAATAATTGAAAACATGGATGAAATATGAAACAAATAAAATAAAACATATACAAAGCAGAACACAGCTAAATGTATTAAAAGTAGGTCTATGTAATGCTAGAATTTTCTGAGACCGTGAATTTTGGTTTTTCATTTTGTTTTTTTTCCCAGAAAGAGGTTTTTATTTAATAGAATTTTTGGACCAAAAAAATAGCAATATATCGCCTTGTTTACAGTATTGAAATATATCGCGATATATCGTATCGTGACCCCTCTGTCATGATATGTATCGTATCGCCAAATTCTTGCCAATACACAGCCCAGGCCAGTACACCAGGAGACACGGAGGAGGCTGTAGCAGGCCAACAACTTAGCAGGAGGAGCACTACCAGAGCCCTGCAGAATGACCTCCAGCAGGCCATACATGTGCTTGTGTCTGCACAAACGGTTAGAAACCCACTCCATGAGGATGGTAAGAGGGCCTGACGTCTGCAGGATGGGGTTGTGCTCGCAGCCCAACACCGTGCAGGACGCTTGGCATTTGCCAGAGAAACACCGGGATTATCAAATTCTCCATAGGCCCCTGTGCTCCTCACAGAGGGAAGCAGGTTCACACTGAGCCGTTCCATTGATGACTTTTGTTTGATACTTTAGTCCCCCAGCTGAAGCACTTTAAGCCCTGTAAATGTTATTTTTAAAATACTTTTTCATGAATATTTTAGTCTGAGTCGATCTTTAATCCCACAAATGTTCATAATAAGCCAAGTGATTTACAGCAGCAGCTTCCTAAACAATCAGTTTTTATCAGAATATATGAACTCTGTGTTATTCAAGTTACAGTTTTAAATTTAAACATGTCCCAGTTAAAACACTGGTTTCATAAATAAAAGCTGAAACACTTGATTATCGTGCAGTGATAAAAGTGCACCTGCAGTGCCACCTGCTGGTTCACGTCAAGCCTGAACTAACCCGTCTATGATGAGGTTTTCATACGAAGCCTTCTTGTCACAAACAGGACATATCCAGGTGGGTTTCTTCTCATTCATCTGCAGGTAGAGTGCAGCATCAAAACACTGCAGGTGAGAACACGTGACCGCCCTGCACGGCACAGTGAGCCGCATCTTCCCCAGCTTCAAGACAAACAATGGACAAATTAACATTTTAAAATATATTTAGTCATTTTACAAAATCTCTAGTGATCAAAGTGCTTCAAAGCATGCACCGTGAATGACCCTCAGCTACTACCACTGGTAATTCTTAAAAACCTTTGGGTGTTTCTAAAAGTTATATTACAATCAAAATGCATGTATATATTTAGTCATTTTACAAAATCTCTAGTGATCAAAGTGCTTCAAAGCATGCACCGTGAATGACYCTCAGCTACTACCACACTAACATTAAGCTCATTGGGCCTCATGCAAGAACCGTTCGTACGAACAGATTTGTTCTTAAGTTGTGCGTACGAGTGATTTAGGAGAATTTGTGGCATTCACCTATTTTCTCGTATTCTAAGATTTTTTTTCAGATTCGAACAAAAATCACGAGTGGTCCAGACC